CCACACTGTCTCCGAGCGTTGATTGTCGCAACCACATTTCTATTCTCCATCCGGCAATTCCGTCCTCAACTTTTCTTTGCAAACGCTCATCTTGCGAGCTCAATGCAGCATAATCTTACTCTTTTGAATAACAAGTATGCTCGGGCTGTGATGTCAAGTCAGAATGACTGAGATACCAGCAGGGTACCAATGCAAACTGCAGCGCTTCGCCGTGGTCCCCGACACCACCGCAACGGTAATCCTTATTGTAGACGCGCGCCCGCCGTTGCCTCGAAACCGCTCGAAACACGGATTACTTACGTTAGTACCACCAAATGCTGAGCTCGATTTTGATCACCGATACGCGGTCATTCGCGATGAGGTATCTCTCTTCAAAATTTTCGGCGGCATTTTCTTTCAAGCGTGGGCGGCCCGCATGTATTTGTCATGACATGGACAGGCTCACGCGATTTTTTCTCTTCCGCTTGTGAACTGGTTTGATCACTCGGGTCGGAACATGAGCGCGGGAGTTCGAACCGCAGCGGAATTTCTGGTATTCGGCGCTGCAGGATAATATGTAATGTGGAGCTTGGCAACTCCTGGCATGCTATATTATGGCCGCAGCAGGTAAGATGAATTATGGTTGGGGAATGGAAGCAACGTTGGTGGAATTCCTGCTCCTTGGCTGGTGAATCTTATTTCAATTCTGGAAGCGGAAAGCTCTGTCGCTGATAAATTAGTTCGGGCAATTTCATTCCCCTTCAAATTCTCTGCGCTGAGGGAAGGAAGAGAACCCGAACTTGACCCGAACCGAGTTAATTTGTAGTTGTTGATTGATTCTAACCTCTGTATGCCAGAAAATAACCCCACGGTGTCCTGGCTTTTGAACAAAATGTTCCTTAATGCAATGCACCAAGCTTTTTTGGACTGACTGTGTACCTTCCCGACAGGCCGAGCGTTTCCGACGCACGTTACAGCCTGTGCCGGCAGTCCACCACCTCTCCGCATGCCGGCACTTCTAAGGGCTGAGTCCGCACATATAGGGGGATGATCAGAGGAAGTCTCTGGACCCTCGTCCTATCTGTTGTGGCCCCCATCTTTTGAAGCATACATACGATGCCCGCTCTGAGTCGCCAAGACCCCCTCTTCGGATTGATCTACTATGTTTTGGGTGGATGGGTACGCACGTTCACTTATAGCCAGCCAATCATCCCCCCAATCCTTCACACAGTTAATTGGCTCGAGCGCTGTCTTCTTACTCGAGGGGATTCTCATATCCCAGGTGCGTTCTCCCGTCATCCATTGCTCAACACGACCTCACAGCCTGAATGGCAGGTCAACTATTACTACACATGGTGTTCGGAAGACCCATTGGCCCATAAAGTTATGGTCGCCGTCCTATTTCTTCTGACAGCACTGAAGACAATACAATCATTGCATGTGTCTCATGCGCATTCGCAACATCTTCGAACTAACGACCGGCTAAAGCGCGGTCACTTGGACCAATACCATTTTGTACATGCGTGACCCCGCCGGCACATTGGGTCTCGTCCGCGAGTTGTATCAAGCCGTCAATACTCCTTTGGTATGTCCTGTATTTTATCGGCACAAAATATTCTTATGGGTCTCCATTCGAGGGTGCTGTAATGGCAGCTTATGTCCAAAGCTATTATTGTTACCGACTGTACGTGCACATCATAGCAACAACACCGGCCCTTCTTTTACGCCATTCAGATGGAAATTGAGCGAGAAGTGGTGGTACGTTGTACCACTTGTGACGATCATGGTATTTGGCCTGGGGTCGGCGATCATCACTGTGTGTGTGTTAAAATGTTTCGAAAGGCCCTTCTAAATGATATACCACCAGGCATCCGTTATTGCGAAAACTGAGCACTCCAGCGATTGGTGTATGTCGCATCTATGTTGGGTTGACCGAATGCTGTACTGATCATGATATCCCCTCCCAGTCGCCATCCATGTCTCGTGTACATTTGGTTGGTCACCGGTTCCAGCGGCGTTAAACTGCATTGCTGACTTGAAAATCCACAGCCACGGACGTCCTTATCACTGGCGCATCGACATATTTCTTGGTTAAGGCCCGTGAGCAGGCCCTATCCCGCACAAGAAAACTCCTAGGCAATCTCATTAAAATAAGTTGTCAGACCGCGTTGCCTGCTACCACTGCGTGCGTTGTTTCCATTTCTTCCCGGTCAGACGCTGGGGCTATTTTATTCCCAGAACACTTATTGCATTAATCTGTTCACGAATTGGAGGCAAGTCCCTCAAGCCGCAGGCATCTCACTCGATAATTCTGGTCTTGTTTAATGCACTGCCCATTATTTACGCGTGCGTCCGCTTTTCATACACTCTAAATGATTATCTGAACGACGTGACCAGAAACTGCATGCTATATATTCTCAATGTCCGTCGCTCGCTTCGGGACGCTGAACTTGCTTCTACTGGCCTCAGTGACAGCAGCGCCATCCATTCCGGCGGCACTTGCAGCCGAGGACAGGGGCGTCCCACCGTACCCGTAGAGCTGTCTTCGCTCGGCGGTACGCAGATGCAGACGCAGTCAGAGATGGAGGGCAGCAAATTTGTAAGTCAGGGCAACAGCTGACCTTGGATTGCAGATTAAATTGGACTCGAAACAGACTGGGACACTGTGATGTGGGGGTTTTCGGTTCGACTTTACAATATCTACCGTGACATTTTAGGTCGCTTCACTCCCGGCCGTCATTCCACATTTTTCCTCGCTGTTGATTACACACGCGGATAGGAGAGAAAATTTATCTTAGTTACAGTACTAGCAGTGACCCGTGCTTCGCTACGGTGGGCACAGTAAAAATTGACGGAGCTGAAAAAATTCTGCACATGATAGTAGCTGTTGACCCGTGCTAAGCTATGGAAAGGATCATTTCAGCGGTCATATTTAACGTTTATCAGAATGTGAAAGACGCCACTCGTCGTCAACTTTCGGTTGACTCCTCGTAACCTCATGTTCAGCTAAAATTGAGAATGCTAAGCTGACTTGAGATTGGCGTGGTGTGCGACGTGTATTCAAACATAGGTTCGATAGTTTCAGCTGAGCCGTTGCGGTTGCAAACGTTTGGTGAATATCCAGTGCTTTCAATTGATCCATAGCTTTACTTGGAGATCCAAGCAGTGAGTCAAAAAATGAACAACCAATTAAAATTCAACTACTGTATCCAGCCCGCCTCTTTGAGTGTGTGAGTGCTAACAAATTTTTACGAAGGACAGGTCCTAAATTCTGCACATGGATGTTGTTGAAAGAGATGCTCTTGGCTACTTGCACCATTCATTCTTCATTTCTGATCGAGAGTTTAATACAGCCTATGTGCCGAACCGAATCAAACCTTCAGGGTTGTACAGTCCTGAGTTTGAACAAATTGATCAGAACGACGTTCAAGTCGGGTCACGTAAATTTGTTCGCAACCCACCATCTCGACAGGAATCCAACATAGTTAGTGGAACAGTGGAGCAACTTGGAGCAAGTGACATCATTTACAAACTGCTGAACAGCCAACCAGGTTTATCGAGAGTCAAAGGTGTTCAATTCTTACATACATATATTTCAACTCGACTCCAAAAAATACCAACTTATTCAACTTTGCAGGGACAAGAGGAACTCGGACATGGTGTATGGTATACCTCTCTTCATGTAAAAAGAAGCTCATTAAATATTGAAGAAGTTGACGAGGTTCGAATCCCCGTGTCCGACTCGATCGAGAAGTCGGTATTTTTATTTCCACCCAGCTCCAAAAAAATACCAGCTCATTCAACTTTGCAGGGACAAGGAGAACTCGGACATGGTGTACGGTACATCTCCTCTCTTCATAGATTGTTAAGATATGTTTCACGAGGCTGCTGTGGTTCGACTCCCCATGTCCGAATATTGTAGCCTGAGAATCTTTTCTCTCGATCCGCTCCAAAATCTCCTCAACGGATGCAAGTTCTGGAAACTAAGAAGAGTTCGGACATGGTGTATGGTACACCGCCTCTTTTCATATCTATAACAATACAGATCAAGTGTGGAGGCTGCTGGGGTTCGACTTCCCGTGTCCGAATGGACGGGTCTTCTTGCCCCTTTTTTTCAACCCGGCTCCAAAAATTACTAACTTATTAAAGTTGGCAGGGACAAGAAGAATTCGGACATGGTGTACGGTACACCGCCTCTCTTCATATAAGAATAGATATGTTGATGACGAGGCTTCTGGGGTTCGACTCCCCGTGTCCGAATAGCGTTGCGTGCGATTATCCTTTTTCGACCAGCTCCAAGAATGCCAATCTATTCAGCTCTGTAGGTAAAGGAGGGACTCGGACACCGTGTACGGTACACCGCCTCTCATAATACGAGGTTAAGATACATTTGACGAGGCTGCTGGGGTTCGACTCCCCATGTCCGAATATTGTAGCCTGAGAGTCTTTTCTTTCGATCCGCTCCAAAATCTCCTCAACGTATGCAAGTTCTGGAAACTAAGAAGAGCTCGGACATGGTGTATGGTACACCGCCTCTTTTCATATCTATAACAATACAGATCAAGTGTGGAGGCTGCTGGCGTTCGACTTCCCGTGTCCGAATGGACGGGTCTTCTTGCCCCTTTTTTTCAACCCGGCTCCAAAAATTACTAGTTTATTAAAGTTGGCAGGGACAAGAAGAACTCGGATATGGTGTACGGTACATCGCCTCTCTTCATATGTAGGGTACAGATGTGTTTGACGAGGCTACTGGGGTTCGACTTGCCGTGTCCGAATGGACAACTGGTCGTTTTTTTTTCAAACCCAGCTCCAAAAAAATCGTTGACGTATGCAAGTTCCGGAGATTAAGAAGAACTCGGACATGGTGTATGATACACCGCCTCTCTTCATAGGGTATCAAAATGTGCTGCAGGGGTTCGACTCCCCGTGTCCGACATTATTTGGAGAGTACTTGGAATTTTTGTTTTCCACCCGGCTCCAAAAAATACCAGCTTATTCAACTGTGCAGGGACAAGCAGAACTCGGACATGGTGTACGGTACACCGCCTCTCTCAATAAGAAGTTAAGGTACATTTGACGAGGCTGCTGGGGTTCGACTCCCCGTGTCCGACACTATTTGGAGAGTAATTGTATTTATTTTTTTCAACCCGGCTCCAAAAAAATACCAGCTCATTCAACTTCGCAGGGACACTGAGAAGAACTCGGACATGGTGTATGGTACACCGCCTCTCTTCATAGGGCTAAGTACGTGGATGTGTTTGACGGGGCTGCTGGGGTTCGACTCCCTGTGTCCGAATAGACGGGTCATCTTGCCCCTTTTTTTCAACCCAGGTCCAAAAGAATATCAGTTCATTCAACTCTGTATGGACAAGAGAGAACTTGGACATGGTGTATGGTACACCGCCTCTCTTCATAGCTATAACAATACAGGTCAAGTGTGGAGGCTGCTGGGGTTCGACTCCCCGTGTCCGAATGACGTCGCAGGGTCGAAATCTTTTCGCCTGTTCTTAGAAAAATGTTAACTCATTCAACTTTGCAGGGACAAGAAGAACTCGGACATGGTGTGCGGTACACCGCCTCTCCTCATACGAAGTTGAGATATATTTGACGAGGCTGCTGGGGTTCGACTCCCCGTGTTCGAATAGACAAAACTCTTGCCGCTTTTTTTTTCAACCCGGCTCCAAAAAAATACCAGCTCATTTAACTTTGCAAGGACACTGAGAAGAACTCGGACATGGTGTACGGTTCACCGCCTCTCTTCATATCGATATAGACGTGATTGACGGGGCTGCTGGGGTTCGACTCCCCGTGTCCGAATTCGTCTTCCGAATGGGTATTCTTTTTTTCTTTTCTTTAGAATCCCCGACTAGTACAACTCCGCAGAGTAAGTACTTCCGATCGGTCGCGGCCGAAGAATGGTAGTGATCAGATGCGACTCAAATTCTCGACTGTTGAATGTTGAATTCATCGGACGTGATTTAAAGAAATGATGTGGAGCTGAATTCAACCGAGACGAAATGGCAAGCAGGACGCACATCGACCTCCCAGTGTGCATGCGAAGGTGTGCATCTATCCAGACTGTTCACATGACACGAGCGGGGTAACGATCCGGTTCAATAATTCAAGCGGCGTCCGAATGCCAAGTGGTTTAGCCCGAGGCCGATTGTTCCCCGGTATTACCGGCGGGCTTTTATTCCGGTCTTATGGCTCCACAGGGACGTCCATTCCTGCTGCTGCGCTCGAGTCGCTACGCGCCCGTCGGAATCGACTTTCACACCTTCAGACAATATTTATCCAGGTGCTTTTGGTGGGCTGATCTCTTGGGATTAGTTTATTCTGCACATGGACTCGTGCATCACAAGCCGGTTCATCGCAGCCCAGGAACCCAGGAACTTGCCAGGAACGCAACTTTAATTGCGCATCAGGCCATCATGATTGACAGGTGGCTGTGCATCTTCTCGGTCTCACATACTTCCGTTCCATTCGAGTCGCCGGGCGAAGCGGGTACTTAAGACAACAATGGGTATATATAGGAGCCTCAGACCTTGCACTTCCCGACTTAGGCTCTCTTCCTCCCTCCTCTTCGCAGCCCTAGAGCCTGGACCTTGAATCATGTTCGCCTCGCATGCCACTTCCTCGTCGTCCGGTTCCTCTAGCCACTCTTCGGGCTCCAGCTGGACGAGTCCCAGCTCAAGTACCCGTAGTAGCCCGGTACATGCGGGCTCACTCGTCGACCCTGCCACCCACGCCCCAGCACTGCTAGAGCTCATCGACATCAAGCTCGACAGGCATGTCATCGGTCAGTCTTGTCTCCACATCCTATCTCCACTTTTGTCCACTTTACTGACTTTTGGGTGGCAACAGACTACGTCGTCGACTGTGTCTCCGAGACCGTCGATCACGCCATGAGGCGCACCGTACCGTCACGACCCTCGCGGACCTACCTCCCCAAATTCCACACCTTGGTCTCAACCGTCCTCTCCCGCGCCGAAGTAACTGCGCCCACCCTCCTCGTCTCTCTGGTGTACATCCAGCGCGCACGCCCACACCTCTGCATATCCCTCGAAGAATGGGCGCTCGAGCGCGTCTTCCTCGGCGCCTTGATCTGCGCGTCCAAGTACGCCAATGATTCGACACTGAAGAACGCACACTGGGCGCTGTGTACAGGCGTTTTCGGGAACAAAGACGTAGGACGTATCGAGCGCGAGTTCCTGGACGTGCTGGATTGGGAGCTGGGCGTGCGGGAGGCCGATTTGCTGGCGCATCATGAGGGGTTGATAGCTGCGTCTAGGAGGTCCGCCGCCTTGGCCTCGCGGACGAAGGTCAGCCTCAAGCGCGCGGCGCCCACCTACTTGGAACCCCAGCGCCCCCATCCCCATCCCCCGCACGGCCACGCCCGCCGTTCCTCCATGCCCGAACTCGATCCCTCTAGTCCGCAATCGAGCCTCGCGAGCATGTCGCCGCGCACGCCCTCGAACTTCCCGCACTCGCCTGCCGATCTTCCTCACCCCTACCATGATATGTCGCTTTCCCTTTCGCAGCGCTACCACCCCGCGCCTCACGCCGCAAGTAAGGGTGGGAAGTGGAGGGATATGATGCGCTCGTTCCCACTGCCGAGGCATCATGCGCAGACCCGGAGGCATGCGCATGCGCAAGGGGGTTATGCGATACGTGTCGCTGCCTAGCGGGGACGAGTCGGAGTCGCATTTGCTTGACTCTACTTAGACTCGCTCCGTGACGGCGCCCAGCGCTCGGTCGACATCTCGACTGCAGCACCGCCCGACGAAGTGCTCTCGGGCTCGCGCTGCATTTCTTGCACGGGCATGGACTCGCACGACGCCTGTTCCTCTCCCACTCCTTCGTTCTTCTACCTACCTGCCTACGTATACGAGCAGTATTTGTCTCACTTATCTAACGCACTCACCTATATCATAGTCGCATTTTACTTCAGCCATATATTCAGCATACAATACAAGTACTCAGTCAATTACATTATGGACTTCAATCGCATAACAATAGGAATAGGAATGGAATCAAAGGCATTTTGCATTTTTTTGGAGCAGCCAATTCTCGTGTGTCTAGCTTGTGAACTTGGGCAAAGTGAGGTAGGTATTATCTAGAATCCACGAATCCGCAAATCCCACTACACTATAGGCTATATGCATGGGAGGTAATCTGTCTCCTTACCAGACCGTCCGAGATAAATTGCCCTTAACTTAACTTCAAGTTGGGCTACATAGGTCCCGTCCAGCCTGAAGGGCGCCGGCGCCATAAATTGGCTGGGCCATACTTATATGCGTATAGCGTATGTATATGTTTAGTGCTATATACGTGCGAAAGGAGGGAGGGTTAGATTAATGTATCCGCACATATGCTCCGCATATTGAAGTCTGGGTCTGGGTCTGGGTTTGACGCGGTCTCAGTCTGGGCGTGGGGCTGCCAGTGGCGAAGGGGTGGGGTCAAAGTGGGGTAATAAAGCCGCAAGGATGATTGATTGATTGCATTTGCCCTGCAAGTCGAAGATGGAGAGAGACGGGGACGGAGACGGAGACGGAGACAAAGTTGAAAGACGGGGACGGAGACGGAGACAGGAAGACAGGAAGAATGAAGGGATCCGCGAACGCAGAAGAGGGAGCCACTTGAGTCCGCGGTGCGCGGCGGGCGGCGGTATTCTTTTCTTTTCTTCCCTTTTCATTCGGATTTCGGAGACCTTCAAGTTCGCCGCTGAGTCAAGTTAGTCTGAACCTGAATCAGTAGCAGGCCTGGGAGATAGATCGCTTGCACTGATTTTTTTTGTGTAAGGAAGGAAGGAAGGAGTTGGTACTGTATCATTTCGACCAAGTGTTCAGGTGAGGCGTGACGCGGCCCACTGAACTGAACACTTGGGGTACTAGTGACGGTGACACTCGAAGGATGAACACCTAATAATTTGAAGCCTCAAATATGCCGAAAAAGCTGCAAATTTTCGCGAACAAAACCACGGAATTATCCTACTAGTGCTCCTCCCAGAGCGCCCCCTGGTAGCGCGTAGTCCCATTTTTTTTTTTCGTTGGCCACGCGCGAGAGTTCCGTGGGGTGCACACTGAATTCCCGTATTTCCGTGATAGGAAGCATCAATGATGACAGAACCTCAAAGTGGAATTCCTGAGGGATAGCGAACACATCTTTGGCCATTCTGTGAACTCTCGGCGGCACAGAGGCCATCAAATGTTCTTGTACAATCCAGTCAGATCTTTTGGAAGCGGTTTCTTCGCTCATTGTTCGTGGACTGCAGTACGAGGATAGACATATTTCTTTTTCACATTATTCATGCAAATATTCTGCGTGAAACCGGAACAAGTAAACGACTCCAGATAGTCTTGAGGTGTATTGGGTCATTTACCACCAAAACTCAACACTGAGTCCCATCAGCGACAATATCTTACGCAGAAGATCTCCGCAGTGTTCCGGGCGCGTTAGGCAAAATCTTAGTAAGTAGTCTCCATCAACTTCTTGAGCTCCTTGTAGGTGTTCCGACGACCGCTGGAGAAAATGAACACTTGAGCAGTGAGTGACGGTTGCAGCCTCTGGTTGGAACACTTGAGAAAATGAACACCATAGGTGATGCGTGACACCCCATGAACACTTGGTCGAAATGATACAGTAGCCTGGGATATCGATCCAAGGAGCGACGGAGCGTCACAGTATCCCGATCTTTAGGTTTACAAGGAAGTACTGCACCAGTTTGTAAGTAGCCGGCGAATCTAAGCGCGTCACGGGCCCGGGGATGGTATACTCTTGCGGGGCTCGGGCGGCACGCGTATATCGTAGTAGTAATCGTATACGCTCAAGGGGATCTGGCACGGGCAGGGCGGGCCACCGCGGGCGTCTGAATTTTTCCTCATTTTGCACACAAGTATGTCCTATAAGCAACGGAGGGATGTGCGATCGGGTTGTAAGGTGTGGTGGGCAAGGAAGGGTACAAGTAGGGCGGGCGACGTTCTTGTGAATATTTCGGGCAGCATGATGGCGGCGCATCAAGCTCGCGCGGAAGACGTCGGACTCGGAGCCTCTAGTGCAGTCGACGTCCCAGCGGAGGCGCGCAGAAGGCTTCAAGGTTCAATGACCATGGCCCAGGATCGCGCCGGCGGCGTAAGGCAGGTGAAAATTTAATTCAGAGAGGATTTGAAGAGGATGACCGAAGATAGGCATCTGGAATATAGAAAGTAATAGTAGCATTAGGGCGGGCGACGTCCTTGAGAATATTCCGCGCAGCATGCTAGTCACGTGGCGCAGCAAGATCGCACGGAAGACATC